TGTTCCAAGGGCAAGTGTGTCATTTACTACTAGTAAAATATAGCTAGTGATATTCATTTCCCAGGATTATTGTGAGAACTGAGAGCAATGATAACTCATGGTGTCTGGCTCCTAGTTTGTGTTTAATTAACATGTGTTTCTGCCTTCTTTCACTCCTTCACAAGTCTTTAATTTCTGGTTCAAGTCCCTTTTCCTCTGTGGTTCAGTCTCATGACTCTGGTGATCTTGACCTAAGTAATTGCTCCCTCTTCAGCATTCATTATTCCCTGACTATATCAGTATTTCCAAATCACTTGCATCCTATAAAATTAATAGATCTTTTGAGAAAAAGGAATTTTTTGAAGAAAGAAGTTTGGAGAACACTGTATCCTAAAGTCTCCTCAGAGATTGATAATGTGCATACTCAGAAAATTTTTGTGATAAAGAAACCTGTTTAACTTCATTTTACCAAGCATTTTTAAAGCAATCATGAGAACTCTCAACTGACTCCCATTTCCCCCCCACCCCAGAAAACTTAGTAACACACTAAGCTCTGTGGGTTATGCCATTCATTTGAGTTTATACAGTGTTTTTGACATTATACTTTATTTAATGCCTTATGTATTTATGCCTTTAATCTTCAGTTAGAAATTAAGTTCCTTTAGGGCAATGTCCAATGTACTTTATTATATCTATGGCCTTGAATTTAGTAGATATAAGGACTTCAAATAAGGAGACCGTGAACTGTGACTTAAAGAGTGGATAGGATATCTGGTTCTTGAATTCCTTCTAAATTCCTTTTATCTTTCAAAGAAAAGTACAGTTTGCATTACTGCTAAATAAATATATCTTAAGCTTTGTGTGTTATATATGGGGAAGATAAATGGTGGCAGGTAGAAAAGAAAGAGAGGAAGAATAAAATAATTTTCACTTCTTTTATTCATATCAAATCAGAATATTATGGGGCTTATAAATTACAATGCATTCTTTCCGAGTGGTGTGTTGATGGAAGGTGGATTTGATTTTTAGAAACAGCCAAAAATCAATGAAACCTATTCTGTCATTTAAGGTCAAGCAAATTAATAGTTTTTAATGTTGAAAAAAAATTTTGTGTCTTGAAAGGATTGAGACTGGTTTTCTTGAGTGGTTTATAAACAGATTTTGAAAACAATTTCAAAGAAGAAGTCTAATATTTTGAGCATTTGGAAACATTGTGAGAACATGTATAACTTATTAAGATGATGTCTTTGAAAATAATAGTCATTTATAAATATGTTTTGTGCTTTTTGTTTAAAACAACCATAACCCAGAACCATTTTATTACAGCCAGAGCTCATAATATTTACATAGAACTGTGTCCTCTTTATTGCCTCTTACCTCCTGTCTTTTGGCCTTTTTACTTCATATTTACATATTCATGCAGAGGTGGGGAATAAAAAGAAGGTGAAACTATACCAATTTTATTCCTGATTAATGATTTTTATGAAATTCAGTAGATTTTTGACAACCATTAACTGCAGTGAAGTTTTGAGATCATCTCTTAATTTAACTGTCCATGCCATCTCTGCTTCTTTTTTTAGCATAGTTAAATTTAAACTTATCTGAGCAGATAATTGCCATCTGTATTATGGCCAATTTTATCCATGGTCCACTATTAAATGTTTAACCGTATATTCAGTCTTTAGTCATTTGGCAGAGGAAAGTAGTAAAGAGTATTTTTATTTATGGAAGGGGAGAAAAGTTGATAAAACTATTTGGGGGTACTTACCAGCATGATAAACTGGAAAACTATAGTTTTCATTTTAAACACTATTTTGTGTATGTTGTACTGATGAAAATTCTTTTTGGAATACATAGGAACTAAGTGCCGACAGAGACTCTCCTGAAATTAGCATTCTCTCGAGTACTGCTATTAAAGTATCTGAATTGGTTGCTGTAAAGGAGAAATTGTTAATAGAGCCACAGAAGATCTTAGCAGGATCAAATACATTTTCTGAGTTTGGAAAGGAAGTCACATTGAGTGTGACTTCCGAAGAAACCAAGGATGAAGAAAGCTCTCTTGAAACGTTTGTATCTGCCTTAGAAAAGTTACTAACATCACCAGAAATCACCCAGGAAGAAAGATTGTTTGAAATAATGAGTGATTTTGAACCTAGAGAGTTGATGAACCCATTGAGCAACTCTCCAAATTCCACATCAATACCTTTGACATGCCACAGAGATTTACTGGAAAACACAAAGGATGATGCATTGCCAGCTGAGTTGTTAGCAGCCTTAAACACTTTGTCAGAAGCCAAGGTAGGGCCCATCTGTCACAGAAATGAAGGAGGCAGCAGTCTCAGTGCTGAAAGTGAATGTGTAGGAATAAAGCCCAACATTTCTCAGACTGATGAAGATTGTACACAAATATCAGAGGTGAATTTTGAGTCTCTTTGTTCTACTCCACCATTTGAACAAGATTCCAAGTTATCCGAGTTGCAGGACAAGCATCTTTCAGTGCAGCAAGTAAGTGTAAGTATGAGTCAATGATTTTGCTTTTTATAATGACTTTTAACAAGTCTTCATTGCCCATATACTTTATTTTAAATTCAAACCTTCTACTCAAATATTAACACTCCAAAGATACTTTTTGACTTTGAAGTGTACAGTGATCTTTTTAGAGGTTCCTGGGGTAGAGTTTTCAAGAGGGTTAAAGTTAAAATAGTCAAGTTTCTCCCCAGAAGACCTGAGAAGATATATTATTAAATTGCTTATACAAGGGGAGGAAAGAACTCTTTTTTAAAAAGGAAACATGGAACACTTAATGACTTTGAGTGTCATCCTTGGTGAAGGGCCACACTAATCTCTTTATTGTTTCAATGTTAGTATATGTGTAGCCGAAGCAAGCACAGAAAGCTTTACCAGAATTTTTCCTCTTAGCTCAGAAAGTCACTATGTCTACCTGGGTGCAGAGTGGAGATGAGATACCCCACATTAATTTCTAGTTGGATGTAGAATGTATGCAGTTGGGCACCTAGGAGAGGGAAAAATTATGCCTGGCTTTAGCAGAACTTTACATTCTGTATCTGAGGATACTATCATGTGGCAGTTTCTGGAGTTTAGAATTCCTGAAATATTATGCCTGGAGACCTTGAAGAGACCACTTGCCAAGTCTCTTTTTCATGTTGAAATTTTTGAAAAAAAAAAAAGGTCTTTATTTTTTCTTGATTAAAATAGTAGTACATCCTCATTATAAAAAAAAAATTCAGACATTACAGCAACACATAATAATATAGTAAGAAAAAGTCTCCCACAATTCCACTTCCAGAGATAATCACTATTAACAATTTCATGTCTCTGTCTCCAATTTTTTTCTATGTGTATTCTATGTGTTTATTTTATATAAATGGGATTATATAGAATGCTTTGCAACTGTTTTTTTAAATTTAATAATACATCTTGGTTATCTTTCTGTGTCAGTGAATGTTACCACTGACATGTTTTTCCCTGCTGAGTGATATTCTACTGTATGGCTACTCTGTGTGTGTGTGTGTGTGTGTGTGTGTGTAATTTTTTTGATCAGTTCACTAGTGATGGTTATTTGGATTATTTTTTTTCTTTTCTTTTTTTCTTTTGGCTATTACCAAAATTCTCCTACAACACATTCTTGGGAAGATTTAAATAACATGATACTAAGGTCATGTTGCAACATACACACCTAGAATAATATTACTGTATTCAATTCTGGTAAAAAAAAAATCTCAAAGCAGATATAATATGATGAAAAAAATTTCAGAAAAAGAGAAACTAATCACAGGGATAGGGCATGAAGATTAAATTAAACATTCCAGTATTCTAATCTGAAATGACGTAATAGGAAATCGTGATGGTATTGATAAAGTGAGCATGAACTTAGCAAGTCTTCAAGAAAAAGAATCTTTTAAAAGTATAAAGAAGACTGATTTCAAACAAATCAAATTAAATACGCTTACTCAGCTGTAATAAAAATATGAACCTTGTTATCTTCAGAAGCTTTGCAAACTATATAAATAAGCTCAAGAAAGGTTTATATGATATGTATAAAAATATATATCATGAAAATTAAATCTATAATGGATTATTGAAGGGAAGTTAGAGCCATTCGTGATGTACTGTTAACCTGTAGATTGAGGTTATATACTATCTTGTTCCACAAAATATCATTTACTGCACTCTAAGATAACAAAATACTAGTCTGAGTAGAGCACTGATCTGGCCTAGTGTGACAGCTACCCATTTCCTATGAAATTAAAGCACCTAGAGTGACCTTAGGTTGGCTCTTGACTTTATAGATGAATATTGATAAGAATAATTTTTACATATGCTCTGCTTGCCTTAGGCTTTTAAATATACGTTGTTCTTTATTATATTAATTATACAGTTTTTCACTATGTTCACATATGTCCGGGTTTTTGTACTTTCATCTTATAAAAGGCATTAGTATGTAATCAAAAGACAGTATAAAACTTACTCTCTTTTAGTTTTAATTTTTTTTGCATTGTTGTAATTATTCGTGTATGTATTTATATCTTATTCCAGACTCTAGAAGACTCAAATCCACTTGGAAAGCAGACTTTGGTGCAGCAAAATGCCATCTCTTGTGATCCACTAAATAATAAAGGAAATTTAAATCCAGTGGAAAATAGCTCTGACCAGGACACTCCATGTGTATTAAGGAGATCATCCAGAGTTAAAATAGGCAGATATGCAAAGCACACAGATGACATGTATAAGATGCCAGGAAAGATTTTACCAAAAATACTTGGCTGTGAGAATCAAACAAATAATAACTCTTCAACTGAAAATTTCAGGTATGCTATGAAATTATATTTTTCAGATATGCTATAGACTTTACAGATAATTCTATGCTTGGGACATTAGAGTCAGTGTACAGTTAACCCAAATAAAGAACTTTTTTTTTTTTTTTTTAGTATTGTATTTTTATTTTGCAGTTTTTTTTTTAACCCAGGAAACTCTTTTTTTTTTTTTTTTAAGACAAAATAACGGGAGACTTGTATTTCAGCATAATGCTAGTTTTATTTATCTTTTAAAATAAGTTTTAATTAACATCTATCACCACACAATTATAATTTTTTTTTTCTGGTGATGAGAACTTTTAAGATTTACTTTCTTAGCAAATTTCAAATATATAATATGGCATTGTTGTCACCGTGCTGTACATAACATCCCCATGACTTATTTATCTTAAAACTGGAAGTTTGTACCTTGTGACTACCTTCACGCCTACCTCCCACCTCTGACAACCACCAATCTGTTTTCTGTATCTGAGTTCAGGATTTTTTTAAAACTTTATTAATATAATTTTATTTATGGTAATAATAAAATGATTTTATGGTTTTACATTACAAAAGTTAGTATTATTTATACCTGCCTCTCTGAGAACTCTCAAATATAGCATTTCCTATAAATTGTGTCCATTAACTTTATCAGAATGTCAGTGGAAATAATCATTTGTGTTGGAAAAGTTCCCACCTCCATTTCAGACACAGGGTCACAGGTTCACCCAGCAAAACAGTTTGTGCAGTTGGTACTGAAAATCATAACTTTTAACAAGCATCCTTTTTATAGATAAAAGGAAACTTTAATGTATTGACATGAACCTGAATTTACTCTTGAAGTGTTTTAGAAAGGCATGCATTTGAGAGTAGGAATGCTGAGGAATCCACGACTAACTACTTAGTATGTAAATTATGTTCTCTCTTGTATCACATGTAATGACTGCTACTTGTATTAATGAGCTAGCGATACAGTAAGAAACAACAGTGCCCTTTCAAAGCCAAAGGTGGTAGTGGAAAACTTTTATGATTTAAGGCTTATCTTTCTCTGTTAGCTGCATCACTTGACAAGCATCTCCTCTCCTCTTCTTCGTTGCATCATAGCTAACACCTAAGCTGCTGAGACTTCTTTTCCTCCATCCAGACAGCACCATTTGCTGCTTTGTAAAAGTGTCACCCCAACTTAGTGATTCAGAAGTCAGAGTTTGGGTTTTTCCTTTTTTTTAGATTCCACATGTAAGTGAGATCATATGATATTTGTCTTTCTCTCTCTGACTTATTTCACTTATCATAATGCCCTCAAGGTTCATCCATTCTGTCACAAATGGCAGGATTTCCTTCTTTTCCATGGCTGAATAATAATCTCATTGTATAGATACCACATTTTCTTTATCCATTCATCTATTCATAGGTTGTTTTCATGTCTTGGCTATTGTAAATAATACTGCAGCAAACATGGGAGTGCAGATATCTTTTCGAGATAGTGATTTTTTTCCTTCAGATAAATGTCCTAAAGTGGAATTGCTGGATTATATGGTAGTTCCATTTTTAATTTTTTGAAGAACCGCCATACTGTTTCCATAGTGGCTGCACCAATTTACATTTCCACCAACAGTGCAGAGTTCCCTGTCCACATCCTTAGCAACACTTGTTATTTCTTGTCTTTGTGATAATAGCTATTCTAACAGGTATGAGTATTATCTCATTGTGGTTTTCATTTTCATTTCCTTGATAGTTAGTGATGTTGAGCACCTTTTCACGTACCTTATCTACATACATTGGCCATTTGGATGTCTTTTTTTGAAAAATATCTTTTTAGTTTCCCATTTTTAAATGAGATTCTTCTTTTGCTATTGAATTGTAAGAGTTCTTTATTTATTTTGGATATTAACCCCTTATCAGATATATGACTTGCAAACATTTCATTCAGTAGGTTGACTTTTCATTTTGTTGATGGTTTCCTTTGCTCTGCAGAAGCTTTTTAGTTTGATGTAATCCAACTTGTTTATTTTTGCTTTTGTTGTCTTCGCTTTTGGTGTCAAATCCAGAATATCATTGCCAAGACCAACATGAAAGTGTTACCTTCTATTACCTTCTGTGTTTTTTTTCTGTGAGTTTTATGGTTTCAGGTTTTGCATTCAAATATTTAATACATTTTGAGTTAATTTTTGTGCATGGTGTAGGATCGTAGTTCTTTTGCATGTGGCTGTCCAGTTTTCTCAACACCATTTATTGAAGAGGCTATCCTTTCTCCATTGTGTATTCTTGGCTCCTTTGTCATAAATTAATTGACCATACATGCATAGGTTTATTTCCAGGCTCTCTATTTTGCTTTATTGATATATGTGTCTGTTTTTATGCCAGTATTTTGCAGGTTTTGATCAGTGCTATACCACATGGCAAGTCCTCTTTTCTTGCAAAGAGCCTGCCTCTTTTCCCTAGAAAGTGAAGAGGGTGGATGGTTACATGTCAACTTGGGAGTGAGGGGTAAGAGATTTAGAATACTCAGCACTTGCAGTTGACTGCTCCTAAAGGAGAGAAACTCACAGATGGCACAAAGAAAAGGCTAGAAACCATAATGACTGGCATGCCTGTCACAGATTTATCTGCAGTTTTCTCAGGAGCTGTCTCCATACTTAAAACTGCCATGCTGTCTGACAACAGCTTAGTAAAATACCTTTGAGTTTCAAAAATTTAGTTAAAATTTGATATGATTCTTTGTGAATGGCTGTAGAGAATATGAGATTTTAAAAATACATTTATTTTTCAAGGATTCAGGATCCTGCTATAATGATTAAAGGCAAAAGGAAGAATGTGCATTCATCCAGACTTAAGAGTGGAGAACAGATCTGGAAAAACAGAAAACTTACAAGAAAAAATGGTGAGGTATATTTTATTTTTTTAAGTAAGTAACATAGAAACATAGAATTCTGGCATAATAAAAAGGAATTAGAAATTACCTATCTTAACTTTCTCATTTTACTGATGAAGAAGTCTGGGAAGGTTAAATGATTTCCCCTAGCATTGCACAGCTCAGTAGTAGTATAAGTGAGACTTGATCCTGACTTCTGGCTCATAGGATGATATTTTTTTCTATACTTATACTTTGGAGAGAATAGTTACAGAACTCTTTTAAAATTTAGATGTCTGACCTGTTTGTGGTGTGACTAACCTAATATAAGACTTGAGAAATCATACCAAGAGGAATAAATAGAGGAAAGCAGAAAGCAAAATTTATTATTCTTTGAAGTCGTTTCTATATTCCTATAAAACCTCAAAGAGTGAATTAAAAAACTATCGGAAACAGTAAGAATCTAGAAAGACTGGTTTAAAAATAATAGATAGGGCAGTTGGCAAAATTGAAATATAGACTGTAGATTAAATAATAATATTGTATCAGTGTTAAATTTCCTTGAATTTAATAATAATTTTGTTATATGAAAGAATGTCCCTGTTTTTAGAAAATATACTCTTAAGTATTAGTGGGTAATGAGGCATGGTGTATGCATATTGTTCTTTATGTATATATGTATTTGTGTGTGTGTGTATGTATATATAAAGAGGGTGGAAGAATGATTTAAAATGGTGGCAAGGTGGCTCCATAGTGTAGTGGTTAGCATGTCTGCTTTACACACAGAAGGGTTCACGCCCCACATGGAGCCATGGACCATACCCCGGGTGCGCCAGGCCCCCTGGGTGCATCAGCCCCCCCGAGTGTGCCAGGGTGCCAAGCCCCAGGTGCACGCCACAAGCGTGTGGGAGGAGACACCCTGCCTTCAGAGATCCAATTCTTAAGGGGAAAACGGCAACATCCATAGGTCAGGAGTAGAAGTGGTGGTATTGGGGGGAATTAAAGAGGGGAAAAAAAATAATAAATAAAATGGTGGCAAAATGTTAACAATAGGTGAATCCTTGTTCTGTGTTTGCAACTTTAGAATTAAAGTCTGAAATTGTTTTCAAATAGTTTTTAAAATTTCAGTAAACCAAAAGAAGACAAAGTAAAAACCTTTCATATATATACATATTACCCATTTAGAAAACAGAAGACCCCATTTATAATAGTTATAAAGAAAGAAAAATATCTGCTTATATACCTAATAAGAATATCTGTAAGAAGAGGGTTTAAAAATTCTGCTGAGAAACATTTAAAAAAAGACTTGAATAAATGGGAAAAAAAAGCCTTATTCTTGACCATAAATATTCAGTCTTGTAAGAAATTTACTTTTCTTTAAATTATTCTATAAATTCATGAGAGCTCAATCAAAACAATGAGAATAGTTTAAGGGACCTCTGGAACTATATCAGGCACACAGATACTTGCATCACAGGGGTACCAGAAGGAGAAGAGGGAGAGCCAGAAATTGAAAACCTTTTTGAAGAAATGACTGAAAACTTTCCTAACCTGGTGAAGGAAATAGACATACAAGCCCAGGAATTGCAGGGAGTCCTAAACAAAATAAACCTAAAGAGGCCCACACCAAGACACATCATAATTAAAATGCCAAAGGTTAAAGACAAAGAGACAATCTTAAAAGCAGCAAGAGAAAAGCAGTTAGTTACCTATAATGGAGCTCCCATGAGACTATTGGCCATTTTCTCAAGAGAAACTTTGCAAGCCAGAAGGGATTGGCAGGAAATAGTCAAAGTGATGAAAAACGAAGACCTACAACCAGGATTACTCTACCCAGCAAAGCTGTCACTTAGAATTGAAGAACAGATAAAGAGTTTCCCAGACAAGAAAAAGCTAAAGGTGTTCAGCACCACCAAAAAATAAAAAATATTAATAATAAAATGGCAATAAATACATATCTGTCAATAATTACTTTAAATGTAAATGGTTAACTCCAATCAAAAGATAGCGTGGCTGGGAAGGTGTGAAGATAGCGGACTAGGTAAAAGCAGGGTTCATCTCCTCCCAGGACCACACTGAAATTACAACCAAATTATAAAATAAAGTGGAGAATCACTTGAAGTTCAATTGATCATAATACCTACATCTGATAATATAAAGGAGCCATATTGAAGCTGGTAGGAGGGGCAAAGTCCTGAATCAGGCTAGACCCGCATCTGTGGGTGGTGGAGGATCACCGGGAGGGAGAGTGAGGCTACAGAGGCTCTTCTGAAGGAGAAGGGTGTCCTAGTTTCATCTGGAGGCTCTCCAGCTCAGGGTCCCAACTCTGACTGTAGAAACTAGAGGGAATTCTGGCCATCTGGGTGAGGTGGAAGGCGACTGAGCCCCTAGACATTCCTTTGAAGGACCCACACAAAAGCTTTCTAACCTGTGGACACTCACCCAGGATACCGGCGATGGGTCTGAGACTCACACAGGATTCATTCTGAAAAAGTCTCCATTACCTGGAATCAGAACGAGGGCTAGAAAGGCAGCCACCGTTATGCTTTAGTCTGGCACCCCTACAGGGTAACCTACAGACCATGCCAGCTTGATTGTGCAGACCCCTCCCACAGAGCCATTAGGAAGCTCTGGTCTGAGGGGAGCAGCCTGTCCTGCCTAACCTGCAGACTGCTAGGGGCAATTGTTCTTGGATCGCTGCCAAGCCCTAACCCGAGTGATTCAGAGTAAAGTATTCACAGCAGGGTGGCCATTGTTATGAGCAGCATTTCTAATCCCAGCAATAGCAGCCAGTGCTGTGAGCCGCATTTTATCAGTAGAGTTAGACAGATCACTGCTGCCAACATGAACCTGGCCAAATATCAGGGACCTGTGTTCCAGTCTCAGACAACAGCTGGTCTTGCTGCAATCTGGGTTGTCTGTGGAAACTCACAACAGTTACCAAATTTGCATCAAGCCTGAGGATGTATTGATCTGATTGCCATTGTCTCTCTGAGACCCCACCCCACCCTACCCACAAATTTCCCCAGGTGGCGCATTGACAGTGAACTGACGCAGCCCTGCCCTTCCCCTCCCCTGACCTCCTAATCCACACAGGCAACAAACTTTGGCTGACACAGGGTGGTCACTGCACGGTAATTAACAGCAGGCAGACCTTTGCTACCTGCAAGAGTTGCAATATTGTGTCCAGGGAGCACAGGGGTCTGTGGGAACATTCCTGACGACAACTGGTCTCACTGCGATCTGGGTCTATAGCGGGAATGCCCAGGCACGGAAGTTGCAGCAAAACTGAGGCCATATTGGCCGAATGGATCTTGTCACTTTGAGATCCCACTTCTTCCAAGCCACAAAGTGCCTGCAGCCCATTGACAAGCAGCCTCTTATGCCCTGTTTGGCTCTGGGGTTGAGCACTTAGTGCAGGCAATAGACCTAGGCTAGTGTAGTGAGCACATTTTGAAGAAAACAGTTGTGGACAGATCACTGCTGCCTGTATGAGCTACAGTATCTCTTAAGGGGATTGCAGGGGTCTGTATTGGCCTGACGGCCCTTAACTCCCTGAGCTCCTGCCCCATCCAGTATACAAAGTGCCCACCGTACATTGATAGGCAGCTGCCCCTGCTTTGGGGTAGCGCATTTAGGCCCAGGGTGGGCAGTAGTTGACCTTGCAACATGTGGAAACTTGTACATCAAGCCACAGAGACAGCGTGGGCATGTAAACTGACACTGCAGTGGCAGGGGGAAATTTACTTACTAGACCCAGGAGACTCCCAGAGTCCCTGCGCCACCCAACATGCATATCACCCAGAGGCTCATCTAGTTTCAGAGACTTATAGGCATCTGATAGGCAGTATCAGGCCTTGAGAAGCACTGGTCCCTCTGCTAAACTGCCGTAGGTCAGGGACGGGGGATAACCGAGAGCTGCCTACAGCGTTGTCTCTTCCACTTACCTATAGATCCAGCATAGACAACAACCATCAGTGGATTGCTTTGTAGTTCCCACCGGGTAGCCC